GAATGTGTATAAATACCTGATGGAGAGGAGTAAAGCACCATCATACACAGCAGCAGATGTTCTGGTTGTTTTGATTTCTGTGTTTTGGATTCAGATACTGAAAACTGACTTGGGCTTTTGATCATTTTATTGGAATTGGCATATCTTTTAATTGGCCCCTTACGTTTTAAAGTTTTGTTTGTGGACTCAACATGCAAATTGAAACATATACAAAGATATTTATGTATGCTTAATGATTGCCATAGCATTTATAGGCTTAAAATTCTTCAAGCAGGCAATAAATGCAAGAGATCGACAGTGTTTCACTACAACCATCAAAGCTGGCAAATTTTGAAAGGCCATTGACTTAGAGCAGTGCAAAGACCGGCTAGTTTGGCCTCAAATTATCTCAGCAAGTCTTTGTTCACTCTGTAACCTTAGTAATAAACTAAGGTAAAGTTTGGCCTGCATCTTCACTGTGCAGTCTCTACAGCATTTTTGGAGAATACTTGTTATCCACTGTGCTGGGTTTACGTGATGGGGCTTTGGTAGCACAGGAGGGGCTGGACCGGCCTCTGGCCACGTTGGACCCCTCTCCCCTCAGGCCAGGGCTGAGCCAACCAGCGCCTCTGTGAATGCTATATTTAAGAGGGACAAAGGAGCTTGAACCGAGGCTGGACCTACGCTGAAGAGAGGGGCTCCAGTTGGACCACCACCGGTCAACTGGAGATGGCCACAGCAGGGAGGCTTGGAGAGCTCTGAAGTGCCCCACTCTCAGGGTGCCCACTGGGAGGAGTTTGCCCTGCTGGGACTGCCGAAGTTCATCTGGCTGATTGGGCCCGGTGCAGACGCAGCGGAGAGAGGACCAAGACCTGAGAGAAATGGCTACGTAGATACCAAGGATGGCGAAGACAGAGTGGGAGGAGGTGTGTCGGAACTGAGGTTCCCCTGCAGCCTGTGGTGAGACGACAGGCGGCCCCTCTGCTGCTCGTGGAGATTAACAGTGGAGCAGAGACCCACCTGCAGCCCGTGGAGAAGCCCACGCTGGAGCAGAGATTCCTGTGCCTGAAGTAGGTCATAGAGAATGGTCTCTCTTTGCTGCTTGAGACTGACAATGAGGTGGAGAGGCATCTGAAGTCTGTGGAGAACCCCACACTTGAGCAGGTGGCTGCTCCCTAAGAAACTGTGACTCTGTGGGGAGGAAGCCTGTGCTGGGGCAATCTAATGGGTAAGGATTGCATCCTGCAGGAAGGACTCATGTTGGAAAAGTCTGTGGACTGTCCTGTGAGGAGAGGATCCACTGGAGCAGGGAAAAAGAGTATAAGGAATCCTCCTCCTTTAAGAAAGGAGCAACAGAAAGAATGTGTGGTGAACTGACCTGCAGCCCACCCATTCCATGTCCCTCTGTGTCACTGGAGGGAAAGAAGTAGAGCTGGGAAGAAGGGAGGGATGGGGGAAAATGTTGTTTTTTAAGATCTGGCTTTATTTCTTGTTATCCTCTCTGAATGAATCGCTAATGAATTAACTTGGTTCGTTCCCAAGCCGAGTCTGTTTTGCCCAAGGCCATGGTTGGTGGGTGATCCCTTCCTATTCCTATCTCAACCCTGAGGCCTCTTGTTACATTTTTTTCTCTTCTCCACCTCACCAAGGGGAAGGAGTGAGTGAGCGACCTCGTGGTAGCTTAGCTGCTGGCTGGACTAAACCATGACAACCACTTAGAACATTCCTGAAGGTGGATAGAGTTTATATTCCATGTGTTTAGGGAGTTTAAAATGTTTCAGTACACAAAGTATCTCAGGTATACAGAGTGTTCTAGAATCAAGTTTGGAAAAGTGCTGAGTCTTCATGAGATCCCGTAACATCCATCAGTCAGTGTGAGGCGTTGATGCATACACACTGACCTTGAGATCTGGCTTTGAACATGCGTATGTTGGTGTCGTGTACTATATATCATTCAGTGTGAATTTACAGATTATCTTCTTGGAACCCCCCAAGCTTTTTACATCGTACTGAAAAGCTGTGCCTTTGGATGCTGTGCAATTGGTCTCTGCCTTTTCCATGAATCACGTGTGGACTATTTTTTTTGTCTGTTTTTTGTTTCTTGTTTTCACTAACTGATGTCGTATTGCTCAGGCTACCACATGGGAGTAGCAGGTTAAATCATGCTCGTGCTCTCAAGGATCTTATTAGAAGACCTCATTCTTCAGAAAAAGGGGAAGGGAAAAAGGACTTTTGCCTCGTGTGTGTAGTGCCTTTTACTGCACTAATGTGAAGTGATTCGATGTGATGGACAGCAGTTTATCAAAACAAAATCTCATTAAAATCTGTCTGCACTTTGCCCTTACTCTCCTTTGTATAATAGGATTGTGAAGCTTTCTGTGACCAGACAGTAACCTGTGGTAACCTGTAGTGTGCGTACATTTATGGGTGATGAATAAAACCATTGTTATCACCCTTAAATGTTGGCATCAATATTGTGCTAATAACATGTGGAAGTTTCTGCTTTATCAGCAGCAATGATTGGCAAATAATCAGCTGTTTTGTAATGAGAAGCTTAAAATCGCAGCCGCAAACCTTTGAGTTAAGCTTCATGGAAAAAGACTGCTGCATTTATTATGATACCATTTTTTTGTTGTGTAACGATGACATGATTGTTGTTTTAGCTTTTTAGTCATACAATGCAATTAAGAATAATCAGTTTTCCCACACATTCCACAAAGCAACTGAAGCAAATGCTTATAACCAGGCCCTTAAATTTAGATGACTTCCGCTGCTGCATGGGCAGCCCACGGGTACAGATGCATGTTTCATCGTGGTATGCAGCTCTTGTGTGATTGCAGTGTTCTTACAGGATGTGAGTCTCAAAAGAAGTTGCTGATAAATAGTAAACTCTTTTTTAAGATTTGCCCATAGTACCAGGTTAAATATATTTTGGTGTGCGGAGGAAGGGGATCTGTCTATATTGTGGGCTTTGCAATCTGTAACAGGCATCCAGAGTAGAACTTTAAAAGAATGTGTAAAAGAATTTCTAATTCTTTTACTGGAAGTAGTAGGTGGTCACACCAGTAAAAACTATATTGTGTTACATACGTACACAGATACATGTAGTGTTTACCCCATAATTTGCATGAAATGTGTGTGGCTGGTTTTAGAATTCAGAGCATCAACAGACGGGTCAGGATTTGGGCAGGGTGTTCAGAAAACAAATCTCGACTGTAACTAAAGGTAGTAAGTTTATACTGACAGTTGCAGTTCATAACTATCCCTACTAAAAGCCATTTATTTACCAGGCGGGGAAATGTCTTATGTATTCTCAGACCAGGTTCTGTCATGATTGTTTTAGAAATCTGCATGAACAGATATATCTAAAAAATGTTTATGCATTCACATGCAACTTTCTTTTCTGTGTTCTTTTCCCCAATTTTTTCTGGACACATTGCTCTCCTCAGCGTGAGTATGCAGTACCTTTATATTATGCATGCTTCTAGGCTTTTACTGTACTGGGGCCAAGTCAGTGGGAGTCTTTTTGCATGCTTAGGACTAAATGTTTGCTGAATTTCATTTTTGCTTGCTAAGAACCTTAGACTGAAGTGCTTAATTAAATGTGTGAAAAATAAATTGCTAAACTTTATCACTGACCAATACTATTTACCAGGAAGTGAAACATAGCGAGAGCAAACAAGTGATATCCTAACTGTGATGTACAGTTACTTGCATTTCAGGGGATGTAATTTTCTACATATGATTTTACAGCTTTGACTATACCAGATGGTAGAATAGTCTTGGTGTGGATGTAGTTGTATCTGTATGAAGGATCACAAGTTGGAATAGCATATTCCTGTTTGTGAAGAAGAATAAGCCACGGTGGAATGACAAGACTTTTTATTATTGAAGTGTTCTCACACTAGAGCTTATATTTCTGTGTTATTTACCCAAATTTATAGTAAGAATTCACACCTTTAGATTAGGACATGATAGCTCATTAAAAAAAAAAAAAGAATTATGAGAATGGAAGATGAGATTTGCTCTTTGCAAGAAAGTTTTGCAAGGCCTCATCACCATTAGTGCACTAGCCTGTGCTGGCCTCTGAAGTCAACTGAAATCAAATTAATAGTTAAAGAATTTTTCCCAAATACTTGTAAAATTGTGGTTGTAACACGTATGGCTGAATCTGTAGTTACCCACCCTTGTATAAGGGAGAGGAGTGGATGAAAGGGGAATCTGTTTGCGTTATCCAATTTTAGAAGATGCTCTGACACAATGTTAAAAATTGAGGATGATGCCAATTACAGATTTTCTTTTTCCAGTGAAAATCTGAGTGAAGATGATTTAGACTGAAATGAAAGCTGTTATGTCCTACTCTGTTAAATGTTTGGTTCACCATGAAATATGCCAGGAAGGCCACTGTAATAAAGTCAAAAGAAAAATAAATAAAACCTCAAAGAAAAGAAGTCCCATTTTCTCCCAGAGGTGCATCTTGAGACCACTGACTGAGGAGATAGCTTAATCTCCAGCTGAAGAGCTGGAAAGATGCAGCCTATCCCTTTCATCCCCATGAGAGTCCCTAACTGTCATTGCTATTTGGCAATTATCTTTTTTTTTTTTTGCATATTTGATCAGGGTCTGTGACACCTCAGTGCAGCTGTCTGCTCTCAGTCAGGCTGAGTGAAGCTGAATAAATCAGGCCTGGCAAGTAAGTGTCACCCTGGTAAATCCTTCTCAGTCCCTGTGAGTGTGGGACACATATGCAAAGTTTCAGGATGCCTCAAGACACATTTTCAGCAAATTAACTATTAACCAAGATAACTTCTCAACTTTAGAAAAACTCTAGAAAAATCAGAAGGGCCACATTCATCTATCCTTGTGGATGACTTTGAGCCACTTTTATAGAACCAGAGATTGAGTCTGAATAGACGTGTTTAAGGAAGTAATTTGAACATTATTTACAAAGTTTCCACTTAAAAGATGTGCTAATATTTTATAGCTTAGTTACAGCTTATCACCTGTCTTTTTTCTTCCAGGCTTTTAAGACCAAGGATGGCTACATTGTGATGGGAGCTGGAAATGATCAGCAGTTTGTCACTGTGTGCAAGGTAATGGTGTGTCAGGTGATGGTATAGAAATGTGTAACAGTTTCCCTTCTGACTAGAAAAATAATTACTGATTGCTTCTTAATTACTCTTTTTTTGGGTGAAAATAAGTAGCAAGTATAAATTCTAACCCTGGGGTTCTGGCTGGTAGTTCAGGGGACTGATATGGGTTCTGTGCTTTGCCTCTATCTTAAGAACATCTAAATTGCCAGACTTTTAGGTGCTGAAACCCTTTTGAAGTCTGTGCAGCTGCACGGCTAGTTAGCTAAAAAATGAACAAGCTAACAGCCTTCCAGTTCGGAATGGTGAATGTCATGGAAGTCACACTGGTACCTTTTTCAAGAGTTTCTCCATAAAATACATGGTGGGTGCAGATATGAACAAAGCAAAGACAGGGGATGGATGGTTCTTGTGGCACCTTCATCAGTAGCTGAGTGTGTAGTCCTTTGGAACACTAATATGTGCTGGTCTGTGCTCACAGAGAAACTTGCAGACTTTTTAGAAAAGAAGTATTACAGGACTGTGGGCTGGCTTTGGAGTATGCAGAGATACAATATTGAAGAACAAATCTTCAAACGGGACTGCTGCATTCAAAATCTGGTATTTTCATTATTTTGAACTGAAGGAACGTGATTGGCAGTTCTGTTTTCACAGAGGGTAGCTTGAAACGTTGTAAAATAGTTTCGTTTTTTTCACATACTTTTTTCTGGTTGTTTTAATACCTGGAATTGCTTTTCCCTGGACAATGAATACATTTTAAAAGAGAAGGAGTGGTTGTAGGGAGACAATTGTTCTTAAATAAAGTGTGGCAACATTCCAAACAAAGACCCCAGTAACAGGCAAGCTGGGACAAGAAAAGTTTTGCACATAGCATTAGACAGCATTTTTAAAAATGAGAGTTCTACCTTTTTCCTGCTATTATGTTTTTTTTCTCTGGGAACTTGGATATTTAGCCTAAATTAATCACGCTCCAAACAAGCTGACAGCCTCAGGAAATTGAGCATTATTTTCCTCCATTTGTTCATGTCAGACATTTTGCATTTCCATGAATGTTCACAACTAATAACTGGAATATGGAGTAAGAAGACAATGCAGTTGGGATTCTCTCTTAGTGCAGTTTGGGCTGTATATTCCCCACCTTGCCATCTGGAGGGGTCTGATTTCATTTGCTTGAATTGACTCTCTCAACAAGTAGCAAGTTAACCTCTTCAGAGTTTTCTCAGTAGTTCTTCTTCATACAGATGTCCAACCACGATAGCGTGGCCATTATCTTAACATGGATGAAGACTAATGACTGAATAAGTGTCTACCTGCCACAGCTCAGTTTTATCAAAGACTCACTGTCTCATAAAGGAAATCTTCACAGACAGTCCCAGGACGTAGCTGTGAATGTCTTTTTGGTGCTTTAGTTGAAGAAGTACGTATCAAATGCTGGTCTTTCTGCCGTCCGTGAGTAAGGCAGAACTGAAGATCTGGCTCAGTAGGTTCTGACACCATGATGTGAGCTAGAAGGCACTAATAATTCAGACTGTGGATTCATCTCACTTTGGGGTACAGCTGAGAGACTCTGTGACTGTTTGATACATCCTCCCTCTGTAATCAATAAGGAGTGAATGGTACCCCAGAGGATGAGGCAACGTTTCTACGATTTGTGTAACCTCAGAATCTGTAGAACTAAAATTAAGTGAAAGGAATAGTGGCCCTATTCTGCATGCTGATGTTTTTTCATTTCATCCTCATAAAGGTGTTCTGGTATTTCTAGAATTGAAAGTAGGAGGTACAGAACATGGAAAAATAATGACTGCTTGCATTTCAAAGGGATTAAAAAATTGGAAAAATTAGTTCAAGTTTTGGGTAATGGTTAGATTTTTCTGTAAACAAGTTATCATATTTGGTTTTAAGAACGATCTTTCTACCCTTATGAAGTTATTGTAGGTATGGATTTGGGCTGTTAAATTGCCCGGAAACAGAGTGATGTGGAAGTCAGTGGAATGCTGTGAAACCCATTAGAGGTATGCTCTATGCTAAGTCGAAGGTGGTTTGGAACTCAAAACACCATGAAGTGGGAAAGCCAATAAGGGAAGAGGACTTTACTACAGGAAGGCTTGCAACACCCTAGTGAACCTTTAGTAAATACAGAGACCACTAATTCAAATACTGGAGTTGCCATTAGAGAACCTTTCTGAGATGAGCTGGTGCTAGAAATACAGGCTGTGTGGAAGCTGTTGCCCTGAAGAGACATACTCTAGAGATGTAACAGCTGGCTCAAGCTGTAAACAATTGCAAACATTCTGCTTCAACCATATCTTTTGAGGCAAACAGAGAAAAAACTGGAAGAATTCACTGCGATGTTTTCAAAATCAATGACAACTGACTGTAGCTTGTTTGGGGACTTGGATAATTGCAGCAAAACTTGGTAATGCTGCTGTCTGAAGTGCATTTCGTAGTGGTCAAGTGTTACAAAAGCACGTCCTGATGTGTACTGTTTCGGTCTAAATAGGGAATACGGAGCAAGAGTCTTCAAAAGACTGAGTTTTTGTGTACAGCAAAGAGGAGTACAAACAGGTTTGAGCGTATTGGGGGACAAAATGCAGAGAACATACACTCTGAATGTGCATCTTAGATCTTGAAGAAGGCCTGGAGATGGACAACAGCAGTTTCATTCCAAGCGGATGTAGTGAAATAAAGAAAATATTGGCAGCATGATGCAGAAAGATGAATGGCACATTAATGAACAACTTCTCCCAATGTGCATTTGTTAGTCACAAAAAAATTGAGAAGAACATATATAGACATGCAGCTTTACAACAGATGGACATTAAGTTAAAGCTGAAGTCAGTAACGTTAATTAAAACAGTAGAGTGAGCAGCTCCATATGATAATTTTTCATATAACTCATCAAATGGAACCATAGTTTTCTGATTAATTTCTTGTTTTTTTTAAGATCTCATAAATAAGAATTCACTATCATTAATAAATCATATCAATATCATTTATCAATCATATTAAAACAACCATGGCAGAGGCGTTGGAGCGAGATGATCTTTGAGGTCCCTTCCAACCCAAATCATTCTATGATTCTGTGATTTACCTTGAACAACCTTGCGTGATTTTTTCCTCTAAAGCAACAATCTGTAACTCCAAAATAGCAGTATTAGGAGATAATTTTAAGGAGATACCAATATTATTGTTAAATACAGATAGGAAAAGAAGAAGATATTCTAAAGTTAGATTATGATATGTTATCATTTTCATGAACTAGATTGTGTAAACACAGAAGGACAAGAAAATATGCGATGAATTAAGTGTTGATGGAAAATGCTAGATTGATGTTCTGTGTTCTCTTGCAGATAAAAATCTGCAGAAAACTCATGTAATATGGTCATTGTTCCAACATAACTTACTGATACATTGGTTTCCATGCTTACTTTTGTCACTCTAGGTGACAACTGCATCAAAACTGACTGTTTTGAGTATCTCTAAATATCTGTTGAAAGAACACCTATTTTGCTGATGGTTTTAAGTCATCAACAGCTATTCACTTGGAAGGGAAGCCATATCTTTGTTCATCCCAGCAAAGTAAGGAGTCATTAAACGATAGTGGCCTTGGTCTGAAGCAGTCTCAGAGGTTCAGCTCTGAGGCCCTCAACATAAGAAACACATGGACCTGTTGGAGCAAGTCCAGAGGAGGGCCACAAAGATGATGACAGTACTGTAACACCTCTTCTATGAAGACAAGCTGAGAAAGTTGGGGTTGTTCAGCCTGGAGAAGAAGAGGCTCCAGGGAGACCTTCTAGTAGCCTTCCAGTACCTAAAGGAGACCTACAGGCTGGAGAGGGACTTTTTACAAGGGCGTGTAGAGATAGGACAAGGGGCAATGGCTTTAAATTGAAAGAGGAGAGATTTAGATTAGATCTGAGGAGGAAATTCTTCACTCTTTAGAGTGAAGCACCGGAACAGGTTACCCAGAGAAATTGTGAATGCCTCATCCCTGGAAGTGTTCAAGGCCAGGTTGGATGAGGCTTTGAGCAACCTGATCTAGTGGAAGGTGTCCCTGCCCATGGCAGGGGTGTTGGAACTAGGTGATCGTTAAGGTCCCTTCCAACCCAAACCTTTCTATGATTCTATGAATTACCAGAATTTTAGGTTTGAGGCAAGTGTCAGAGATTGACACTGATCTATGTATCACTTACGTGTGGTAATACATAAGCATATGGATTCGAGGAGTGACTGAACATGTTAATAAACCAAAAATCCATTGAGGATCGCTAAATACAAAGAAGACAGCACCGACTCAGAAATATTGGTGGAGTTTGGATGAATGTTAAGGAAATGTCGTGTACTGACCCTGTTCTTAAGCTCTTCCTAAGCATCAGCACTCAGTCACAGGCAGTGATAGGATGATGGGCTATAGGGACTTCAGCTTTGAGCCAGTCCTGCTTTTTTGTAAGCCTTCTTGGAAATGGCCCTGTAAAAAAATGTAGCATGTTTAGAATGGTTACAAGACTCATCATAAGCAAAATTGATCTTGAGTGTGTGTTAGTGAGTAAAAATACATAAAGAATATTCAACAGTTTCTTTGTAAGCTTCTATTCTGCCTTCCTCTGTAGCTGATGTTATTGGGATATTTTTTATTAAATTTGGAAAGCACAACCCATTCTGTATGTTCTATATAAATACATTGTGGCATGAATAGATAAGGTATTTAGAAAGTATTGATTGTCCACACAGCTACTGTTTCATAAATGCCTCTACGAATTCTAAGAGTTGTTGTTCACATTTCATTCCCTTTATAGTATAATTCACATTGGCTTTGCATGATGGTTAAATTTCTAATGTGCCAAGTGGGAGTTGCATACAGAAGATATATTTCTCCTTTCTTGGAGGTTATACCACCAATTTTCTTTATTAATTCTTTTGGAAGAAATCATAAAGAAAAACTTTGACATTTCAATAGAAAAACGCCTTTTCATTTTTTTTTTTCCTTTTTGACAGAAATTACTGAAGTGGAAAGAAATATTCTTAGACATAGCTTTTCTCAGTATAGCATATGAAGTACAGTCATATTTCTTATTCTGTGACATACAACTTAGTGCAGGATAATCCCACGGATCTCTCCAGCCTCACTGTAATAACTTACAAACTTCTACAATAACAATTTCTCCTAGCTAATGGTGAAAGTTATCAACTAAAATTTGGATGTTCTGTTTAATTTCTGTCTTTTTCTGTACTTGTTATGTAACATTAACTGGGAGGCATTATCTTTTCTTAGTTTCCTAATATATATTAAATGATTAATGAGAAGTAGGGATTTTTGGGAAGTTACCTTAAATTGGTAATAAATTTCCTTAGCTATGTATCTCCTGCCAAGCACATTTCTTATTCCCCTTTATTTTCATTTAGATCCTGAATTTGCCTGAAGTGAGTAAGGATTCCAGATACAAAACTAATACTCTCAGAGTCCAGAACAGAAAAGAACTTATTAACATATTGTCAGCCCGGTAAGTTAATTTTAAGGAAAGAAATGATATTTAATCTGTTAATGCAAATAGTCACATATAAGAAGCTCTCATCATATGAAATTTTACTTTAATCTATTGAGATACTTTTTTTTTTTTTTAAAAAAAAAAACTGTGGCGAACACTTACTGATGTTAAAAATACTGCCTTTTGCACACAGTCTAGGAAGAAGCTAGACCAAAGATTTAAGTTTTCAGAAACCAGTTTAACTTATTTTTAACTATGAACTTGAATTTCAGTGAAACATCCAGTACTTCCTGATTTCCTAGATGAATGTAACTGCTAGAAATAAAATGCTTGGAACACTGTTTGCTTGTGCTGAGACTTGGATTTTAAAGTTTTCGCTGAGAGTTGCTGTATCCAAGGGAATTCCACTTCATGCTACTCCCTCGCTGCTGGTTCTGTATTGTGGTACTCTGTGCCCCAAATTCTCCCTGGGTCAATCCTTTTGAAATCAAAAGGATATATACTGAGTATTCTATGTATGGATCATCCTATTAAATACTTCAATTAAAAATTGTTTAAGAGAAAGCTCAGGAGCCCTTTATTTGTGAAATTAAAATATCTTAGTTATCTTCCTCATTCGGTTTGAGAAGGTCTTATTTCTGTGGAGTGCTCTTCTGCTTAATGGAGAGGATGATAAATTTACATAACATAAGAAAGCCCTCATCTGTGTAAAGCTACCCAAAGGTGGCTTCAGCAGCACTTAATACTTCGGGGGATGAGCAGAAGAGGCAGTGTATCTACTGTTGTCAGTAATTCAAGAAATGTCACACTGTCTTTTTGACAGTTGGCCTGTATGAGTCTCTGTCAACAAATGTGTAACAGTTATAGTTCAGGCATTTTTTTGAGAGATTTTTTTTTTTTTTTTTTTTTATATTGAGAACCATAATTACCTTGCATTAAAAACTGTAGGGAGAATCATTTTGCCCCTTCCTGTTGCTTTTGCAAATTTGTCTCTGTCTTACCTGGCCATTTTCAGGTGTCCTGCCCCTGATGAGGTACTGAAGTACCAGGTGACTTTGCATTTTCAAATAATTATGGTACAACTGTTCATGATGAACAGGTGACAGGAACTCATCTGTTGCTTGCCTTCCTATAACAAAGGTATTGTGATAGCAAAGCCGAACCCAGTCTTCTTATGAGTTTTAAGCCCTTGGAAGGAAATAGTTATCTTTTGACCTACTTTTGAGCTCTTACATTCTTGACACTCAATCTTTGTTTCACAGTTGATTCATGTTGACCTATTACTTGGAGTTTATTTCATTTAATATGGCATTTATCTAATGTACTCTGGTACCTTTTGAGAGTGTTCTTTTGCCATCCACAGATCAATTAATTAATAGCGTGTTGCTTGTGTTCAATTTTGAATGCAGGTTAGGTTTTTTTTTAGGGGCAATATCTAAATAAGAAGATAAAGTTCAAGGAACAGTTGTTCTTTGAATGAATGGCCAGAATTCTAATTTGTTTTTATATCCATAGCTATTAGTTCATCAGATTACCTCATCGCTCTTTCAATTACTGCTTTATGTCTTTTTTGTTAGAGTTTATGTTCTGTTTTATTAGCATCATTTAGGCTGAATTGCTGTTTAATTTATATGCAAGTTTGTGACTGTATACATACTTTTGGAGTAGACATTTCCAACAGTATTCTGTTATGTCATATTATTGTGAATTTATCTGACATTCAGTTTTAAAACACTGACTATAACAAACACCTTTGGCATTCTAATGAAGGTCAAATATGTTTCCATACACATTCCATGGTAACTTTGCTTTTATTCAGTAATGCTCAGTTGTTTGTAAAATTGTATGTGGTTCATTTTTGAAGTTACTTAGAGAATTAAATGAATAGTTTCTCAGTGCTGAAAAATGTCAACCCTTGAGAAATGAAGGGAAATGACAAAATAGTAATGGCAGAATTTCACTGAAAAATACCGTAATTAAATCACTGATTGCAGCTTCCAGCACATGGAAAATACAAACTTAAGGTGCATTAGTTGGAAAGAAACACCTGCAGACCCTCCCATTCCTTCACTATGTGTACACTGCTATCCATCTCACGATGAATTTGTGGAGATGTGAGCTGGAACAGCTTTGAAGAGTTGTGATTTTGTTGGCATGGGTTCTACTACAGTCACTTTTGTTGAGATGAGCCCCTCCTTTATGTGATGGAAGGCAAAAAGAAACATGAAAGTCCTTTCAGGATTTAGTCAGGCCATTCATCCATGTCTCATTTTGGTGCTGTGCCAGGCAGGTTGCATGCAACTTGAGGCAAAGCAGCTTTTTTCTATTTTTTCCAGTGATGTTGCAATGGAAAAAGCCAGCAAATTTGTTTGATGTGCCAGGCTAAGCAGTAGAAAGCAGGTAAAAATTTGCATCTATGTATAGGAATCTGGTGATTCCTAAATGTTCCTTCTCTTTTGTGCATGGTTGGAAAAATAAATGGGAATTACAGTCCTGCAATGGAATTCTTTGAGAGTGTTGCTGCTGATAAGGCTGGTGAAAAGATTCACAGATATTGTCTGTGTCGCAGCACCTCGACAGTAATTATGGTGACTAGAAGCACGTGAGATGAAGCATGTAGTTGTGTTTCCTTCCTTTTCCCCCAATCTCTTTTGCTGCAGTTTTCAGTGTACACATCCTCCCTGTTCCACTAAGTCCTTAGTATTTTAAGTGCCATTTGTATGGCAGGTACTTGGTAGTCTGCAGTTGCTTGCATGTATCACTGCTGTTGCACGGTACATATACGCATGCTTTTTTTTCCAAGCTGTTGATGCTGTTGTAATCTTATTGAGCTGAGGTTCCCCCAGAGCCTAGAGTGGGCTTCCATTGACGTATCTAAGCTCTCCCCTTCCTCCTATCTCTTTTGAACTATTTCCAGAGGTATGACTTACCTTTTCCTTTCCTGTTTTTCTTAATGTTCAAAATGGACTAACTGCAATTCATGTCTAACTTCTGAGCACTTATTAAGTGCAGGAAGAAGGATTCTTGGCCTCCTCCTCTTAAGGAAAAGGATTGCCCAGGTTTTATTTAGGAATAGAAGGAGATGTTCAGACCTACTCAAAGGGTCAGGAACTCCCTGAAGTCTTGAGAATCTACTTCGCTGCATGTGTGGAGCTGAAAATTTTAAAAACATCTCAACTCAGAATACCAAGGAGACAGTTGATGCCTTTCATTTGCTGGGGTAAATGTTAAGCAATTGAGACTCCGGCCACAGTTTTATTCTAGGTGTGTAGACAAAGGAAACATTGGTAGAATTGGTCAATGTTAAGGAGTGCTGCTTTTTTAAAAAACACTGTCTCTTGGGAATTCTTGACTCAAATGACCTTGAATTTAGATCAATAATTCTACTCACCACCTGCAGTAACCATGCCAGATTTCAAGGCAGTTAGATAAGCATGGGGATTATATAGCACTTAGAAGAAACTGACCTTTAAACAGAAGACTTTTCAGAAAGGTGTGAAATGACCTATTCATCACAGTCAGATGTCCAAAGCTGAGTGAGAATGCAAGATGGAGATGAATATGGCGTGAGACTTAAACGTAGCTTGAAACAACAGCTCTGAGAGGTGTGAATTGCTCTATTCATTTCAGAAAGAATTTTCTCATCCTCTCTTTTCCCTGACAGAAACGAAGAGCAAAGTACACCTGTCCTTAGCAATTCAACCCAGCTTGCTGTCTGCTTACAACATCTCAACTCGCTCTGTAGAATGCACATGAAAGAGAGAGCAGGAGAGCAGGTTGGGAAGGATAAATACACATATCCACAGAGACTGTCAGATCTCAATAAAAGGGACTGGAAGGTAGACCACTCTGGAGTGGTATGCTGTTTCTGGGAGACCCAGCTCTCATATTAGGGCAAGTGGAGGGAATTACAGAAACCAGTCCCAGACGTCTTGAGACAGGGAGAATTTTTCAATTCCATCTTCTATAGTGAAGTGAGTACTATGCTGCAAGGACTGCTGGGTCATAGGATATTCACAGGAAAGAAGAATATAGGCCTATGGGTTATCTTGTACTTGTTTTGCTACTGATGGCGTTATCCCTTTCCCATCTCTGGTCCTCCTCCTGCTATGCTTTTTTTTTTTTCTTGTCCTCATCATCTTCCTCTACTTCCTACTGCTCCCTCAGCTTCCTCTTTCTTCTCCCACTGCTGACATGTACACATCTCCTATGTTTGCTTTACAAAAAAAGGAAGTTCTGGTGCCTTCTGTATCTTCCTCTTTATTTAGGAGATGTTTTCCCCAAATGACAACAAAGCAGAACTCTGACTAAAGCAAATTGCCTCTGAATGCCTTCCTTTCTTGGGTGTGTGCCAAGAGACAAATTTAAAATGACCCTACCTGGGTGGAGGTCAGGTTCAATGGCTACTACAGAGGCCCCTGAGACTCCCAGCTCATGTGAGAACTGACAGACTACAGAGCGCTCTGTTTTTTATGTTTCCAGTGGAAACCTCTGGTTTGTGAGTTAGATGTACATCTATTCATGAGAACCAAATTTTAATTGTTGCTCCGTTCTGCCCCACCTCTCTTCCACTTTTACCTTTGCTTCCTCTGGAACAGAACAGTATCAGGCTGAATGTGGATTATTTTTTGTGCGTGTATGTATATACACACATACATATGTGTGTAAGTGCATACATATGTCAAGACATACATATATAATATGTGCACGTGATTTGAGATGCATCTGTGCAAAAGCCTGTACAATGCCAGTTTTAAGAGAAGCTGTGTTGGGGAAGGGGGCTTAATCTGTTGACCTCCTCCTTCAAATTACTCCAGAAGCTAAATGTTAATCTTGCCTTGCACCTCAGTAATGTAGACATATTTTAAGATGGTGCAGCTAAATGTGTAATCCAAGGTACTTTGGGAAAATAACCTGTAAATGGAACAGTGTGTGTGAGGTTGTATGAGTGCAGGAGGAAGGAGAATAGCAGACTTGCCATCAGCCCTTAAAGGGAAGCAGCTCACATAATGAAG